GAATTGAGAAAGAAAATCGATTTACTTATGGATATAGGTATTGTATTTTTGCTTTATTTTACAACTAGCGCTTTTATTTTGTAAGAGAGCAGGCAGAATTTGACTATAAATAAGAGTACATAGAGTAATTATCATATTTTTGTTTTTCACTAGTTTTATGATACAAATACCTATATAAATTCGACAATTTATTTCGGTGCCTCATCTGTTTGTATGTTTAATTGGCTTTTAAATTTTTCATAACATAACATCCCGCTTTTTACCCCCGAAGGGTTAGGCAGAGGTGCACACTACGGCACTTAATGCCACTGTACAATGTAACACCCACTTTTCACTATTTATGTTAAGAGTCCCCTGTAATAGGGGGTGAGCAATTTTTCATTTGTTTGAAAAATCCACAGAGTAAAGAAAAATTCTGTCAAAAGAGGTAACATCATGATGTATCTGTTCGTTTGCGGTTTAATAAATAAGGAATTACAAACTATCAATGAAAATACTAGACGTCATAAAATTGAGAGCCAGTACCAATTTTAATTTATGTAGGTACCTACTAGCTTCTACCATGCTGACTCCTCTAGAGATAAAAGTAGCCTATACGTGTTCTAAACTTTATCTTTTTGGTAAATTACATACGTACCTAATACAGGTATTCATAGTTGTGTTCTGTTCACACTATGTCTCCCGAAGGATATAACCTGGGTGTCTTCAAGGCCCAAGTAAATATATGTATAAGCAACCTGCTTAGGTGTACTCCATCAAAGGCCGCATCATTGCTTACCGCCAGACGAGATACTGGCCAATCGTTGAAAAAATATTTTTTTAAGTAGACCAAGAATTGAAAATAGACATAAAAAACCGCCTAATTATCGTATTCGTTTTACACTCTACGTTTTTAAACTAGGTCAGACACGTTTGCAGGTAATATTGGCAAAAATATAATAAAAATACACCGAGAATACAAATTTATATTCAGTACAAAATAAAATTGAGCTGATTGGACTCGGGAGACGATAAAATTGCCGCTTACGCGAAATTGCGAGTTATGACAATGATGAAGCACTTCATTTACGTATGCAGCGCGTATTCGTATTGATATTTTAAATGTATTTGTATTTAATGTTTTGTATCTTGTCTTTAAATACCAAATTAATCTGCTTAAAAAAACTTTAATAATATTTTATTTTCGAGATATCAAAACGGGTGAGGTTTGTTTTGAGTTGTTAAATAATTATAAACTAAATATCAAACACCGATCATAAAAACTTCAAACTCAAAAATTAATCACCATTAGGAAATCGTCTAAACATTAAAAGCCTCTTCATGTACGAATTTAGATGTGATCACAATAAAACAAAGCGATGTCCTGTAAGCAAAGCCGAGATCTTGCAGTTTTATTGATAGAATTTCAACGAATTCGAGAAAAACTTTCTTTACAATCCAACTTTAAACTGCAAGAAACTCCCGCGATCAATATCATAGCAAATGGTTTCAATACGCTGGATAGAACATAATAGGGTTATACTGGTTCCGGTTCCTTGCAGCCTTGCATCCTTCTTGCATACGTACAATGGGGGACACAACCGCCTGACCACCACTAAGTTTCCGAATGAAGAATTATGCTTGCCCCTGATAAGATCCACTCTCGAGCCCTGTCCCATAACCTCGAATTAACGAATGAAGCGGGCAACAATATCAAACGCATCACTGATTAAGACATTACACAGGTCACTCAACTGCGCGACATTATCGCTTATCTATTAGTTGAGATATTTATGAGGTATGGCTCGATTTTTTTTAAAACCGTTGCCCCTCTTTAATATTTTCTCCTGTATCGTGGGTGCTTTTACAAACAACAATTTGTGGATCACACAAAGAGTTGCTCCGAATCGAACCCGCTACACGTTGCGCGGCAGACGGTTGCCGAGCCACCACGCCATTGGTGCAGTCAGTCAGTCAGTTTTTGCCGAATTCAAACAATAAAATCTAAAAATGATCAGGCTCATCTGTCCCCAACTGTACCTTTATACCTATGTATGCATATAGGTACACCGCACGAGGCTTCCGTTAGTTACACTTCGTTTACTCTGTAAAGGTCATACTAGATGCTCTTCTGCAACCAATTTTGTATTTCAAAATGTTTGGTTTTTTTCTACAGGGTGTAATTTTGTTTACTACTTTTTTGTTGTAGACTGTCTTTGTTAGTTATGTCTTATCGTGTTGGTAAACTATTGGATCATTTGGATACAAATGTGAAAACTTAGAAAAATTTATTTAATTTCTAAACTGAACTTAACAACAAAATCTAGCACTCTACTCAACCTTTCCTCTCTGCCGCTTCCCACTTGTTCTCCTTTTAATCTCTGTAGCGTGTCTGAGGACGATGTAAAAAAATCTATGCTTTCCATTAACTCCTCTGCAGTGGGTAGTGATGATTTATGTTCCCGCATGTTCATCCCCATTCTTAATCTCCTTCTTCCTATCCTTACTCACATTTTCAATTTCTCTTTATTTTCCTGCTCTTTTCCTTCGGCTTGGAAAAATGCGCACGTCATCCCTTTACCCAAAATTAATAACCCTTCTTCTCTTTCTCATTATCGACCTATATCCATCCTGCCTTTCCTCTCCAAGGTTATGGAACATATTGTTCACAAACAATTATCTTCCTTCTTATCATCTAACAGCCTCATCTCGCCTTTTCAATCTGGATTTCGCCCTGGCCACAGCACTGTCACAGCTCTACTCAAGGTGACTGATGACATTCGCTTGGCTATGGACAATAAATTCCTCACTATTCTTGTGTTGCTGGACTTCAGCTCGGCCTTCAACTCTGTGGACTTTGACATTCTATTGGGGGTCCTGAAGGCCAATAATTTCTCACCTTCCTCTCTGGCCTGGTTTGAATCCTATCTTCGGGGTCGCCGTCAGCGGGTCCACCTAGAGGAAACCTTTTCCGATTGGTGTGACCTTGCGGCTGGCGTTCCCCAGGGTGGCGTCCTTTCTCCTGTCCTTTTCTCCGTCTTCATTAACACCGTTGCCAGGGTGATCTCTTCTAATTTCCATCTCTATGCAGACGACTTGCAGTTATACCGTCACTTCAACATATCTGAAGCTCATTCTGCTTTCGATGCCATGAATCGTGACTTGGGTGGAGTTGCAGAGTGGGCCAGATGTTTTGGCCTGCAAATCAATCCTCTCAAGTCTCAGGCCATGGTTATCGGAAGCAGATATTATCGTAACGCTCTCGACGTCTCTGGTCTTGTTCCATTGCGTCTGAATGGCACTGTGATTCCATTCACTGATTCTGCAAAGAACTTGGGAGTGCATATCGACTCAAATTTGTCCTGGACTGTCCAGGTGAACGAGGTTAGTCGGAAGGTTTATTTCTCCATTCATTCCCTGAGGCGCCTCCAGACCCTGTTGCCTGTGAAGACTAAGATTCACCTCGTCCAAGCGCTAATCCTGCCTCTGATTGACTACGCGGATGCTTGCTATTTGGATGCTACAGAGGAGCTTTTAAATAAACTTGAGCGATTGCAAAATGTTTGTATCCGCTTTGTCTTTGGTTTAAGAAAGTACGACCATGTTTCCGTATTCCGCAATAGGCTCAAGTGGCTTCCGATCCGTCTTCGCAGGAACACTCGCATTTTATGCTTCCTATATAACATCCTCTTCAACCCTGCCTATCCTGCTTACCTTCGGGACCGTTTCTCCTTGGTTCGTCCTCCTGAAGTCCTATCTCGTTCACACCTTAAATCTAATCTTAAAATCCAACCCCATAATACCGATTTTTATTCCTACTCCTTTTCCGTTCATGCAGTGAGACTGTGGAATGCGCTCCCGCCTAACATTCGGGACGCTGAGTCTATCGCTATCTTTAAAAAACGAGTGAGAGAACACTACCTTTCCTCCTGATATGTAAATTTCTTCATTTATATGTATAGTTTATATTTTGTATGTATTTATTTATGTATTGTATGTAGTTGTTTGGTTATTTATCTGTTAGTTTTAAGTCTGTTTCCTATCCCAATTTTCTATTTGTTACTACACACTGTGTCATTATATTATTATTACTTTTCCTGCTCCAGGTCCACAGGAAGAAATTCCAATAGGAATATGTGGTACCTTTGTACTTTAATTTTATGTATGTGTTGTCCTTTATATTGTATGTGTGTACATAAATAAATAAATAAATAAATAAATAAATAAGATCGACTTTATTTTGACATAAATATGTTAAATCCTGCTTAAATAAAACCCATTGATTAACTTTCTTTAAAGTTGAAATGGATCATACTTAGTAAAGTATGATTATTACATAACACAACATCACGCTTTTTATCCCCGGAAGGGGCAGGCAGAGTTGCACATTACGGTCCATTCAGCCCCATGTTAAAAGAGGTGAGCCTATTGCTATATACCGGGCACAATTTCAGATTCCATGCTACTACCGATATTTTTTTCTTTTTAGTAAGTCTTTTCCCGACCCGAGAATCGAACCCAAGACCCCTTTCCCGGCAGTCGTTTTTGCTGCCCCTTGCTCGGCCAATGAGGCAGAGTATGATTACCGTTAAGGCAAGTACATACTGGGCGCTCGGCGTTGCGTTGAGCGCGCGTTGGTCGCGTACACACACCGCGCTTAGCACGGCGTTCAACGAGCGTTAGTAGGGCGAACATACTTTTGGCTCAGTTCGAAAATGGACGTCGAAGAGATTGCTTGTGTGTGGCTCCTCTACCGTCGATATAAAAGACGACGACAAAGACAAAGAGAATATTGGGTGCACCCTATACTGAGAGATAGACTGACGCATGGGTCGTTTGTTACATTATATCCAAAATTAAGACAATATGGACCTAAGTTCTTTAATTATTTAAGAATGTCTGTGAAATCATTTTATGAATTACTGAGTATTATAAAAACTGACATAACGGGTAATTCAACAATATTAAGAGACTCAGTTTCACCAGAAGAAAAACTCGTTATAACGTTAAGGTAAGTAAATTTATTCAAATAAATGAAGACTGTCCGAATCTTGGCTTGAAGGTGACGGCACCCACGTCGACGTTGGCGGTGGTGGTGCCGGTGCCGGTGGTGTCGCTGACCACTGTTGTGATGGTGTTGAGGACCTAGCAGTAGTGTATCCGGAATAAGACGGTGTAGAATATGCGTATTGATATTGGTACTGATTTGTTTGTTGTGGTAATGCTGGATTCTGTGCTTTTTGAATTACATTGAGCAATTCAATCTTTGTTGATGGTGGTATTAAGTCTTCATTTTCCGCATTGTTTAAATCAGTATTTGTTACGGCAGGAGTTTCAAAGTTGTTCTCTGTATCCTTATTTACTACGGAACTCTCGAGAAATTTTAGTTTTGCGAAGTATACATATGGTACATGTTTGGAGGATCCAGACCCAGATGGAAGATTTTTTTGCCGTTTAGACTCCCTTATGTAATTGTCTCGAATACTTTTCCATTTTCTTGTTAGTGTAGAACCTGAAAAGAAATAATATAATGCTATTTTTATTTTTGACAGATACTTGGCTACAGGCTGTTCGTTCGCAGAATTACACTATGGATATCGTCTTGGAAAATCGACTATTATACAGATAGTGGAACAAGTTTGCAAAGTGCTGTGGAGCAAATTAAAATCTATGTGCATGCCTGAAATGACTACCGAAAAATGGAAAGACGTAGAAAAAGGTTTTATGAAATACGCCAACTTCCCAAACTGTATCGGCGCAATTGATGGGAAGCACATTGAAATAATACAACCGGAACATACAGGCTCACTTTATTTTAATTATAAAGTTTATTTCTCTTCGGTCTTGCTAGCAGTGTGTGACGCAAATTATTGTTTTATATACGTTGATATCGGATCTTATGGTAAAAGCAGTGATTCAGCGATTTTTCAACACTCCGAATTTTATAAAAGAATGATGGATGGTAAATTAAATATTCCCAACCCGAAGCCAATATCAAATATCGATAGAACACCATTGCCTCACGTGTTTGTAGGCGATGAAGCCTTTGCAATCATGTCAAACGTGATGCGCCCTTACAGTGGAAAACAACTCACACACACAAAAAGAGTTTTCAATTACCGATTATCGAGAGCAAGGCGCTACATCGAATGCACTTTCGGAATATTGAGCAACAAATGGCGAATATTCCATAGACCTATAGATGTAAATATTGAGTTCGCGGAAAATATCATCAAAGCATGCACCGTACTACATAATTACGTGCGTACACGCGACGGTTATAGATTTGAAGATACACTTTATCATTCACCTTTACAATCTATAAGTCCAGAAGATATACCACGCGGCAGTTTGACTGCTAGGACTGCTAGAGACAAATTTTCCCGTTATTTTGTAAACGAGGGAAAACTTCACTGGCAAGACAATATGATATAAGTACTTTCCTAACACGTTATTGTAAACAAGAATTCAATAAAATAATCACTCACCCAACAGTTTCTTTTTCTCTAAACTATCTCCAGCGTCACAAAATATTTCTACAAGCTCCTCCCAATTACGTTTTTTAATCACTTTATTCTTATAATCGGGACTTTCCATATCCCAGATCGCTGGTCGTTTTTGAATTTCATCTATAAACAAATCTGAATCGAAATGCTCGGTCTCCATTTTCGTCGTCCCGTGCGTCCAATCTACACGAAAGCGCGCGATCAAATGTACAACAAAATGGCGGCTCATGTATCTCGAAGCGCGCGGCTGACGCCCTCCCAACGCGCGTTTGAACGAAAATATCAAAGCGCGCGTTCGACGCGCGCTTCAACCGAAACGCGCGTTTGCATGTGTACACCTAAATAAGAACTACTGGTTCTCAAAACGCGCGTTATCAAAGCGCGCGCTTCAAAACGCCTAATGTGTACTCGCTCTTACAGTTACTGTTTAGTTCAAGTATGATTACCTACTATCCTTACTAATATTATAAATGGGAAAGTGAGTTTGTGTGTTTGTTCCGCTTTCACGCCGTAACTACTGAACCGATTGCTTTGAATTTTTACAGACGTAAAGCTATAAGTCTGAATTAAATAATAGGGTACTTTTTATCCCAGAAAAAATTGATATTCTCGAGGGAAAACGTAATTATTGGTATAGATGGCGCTGTGTGTATTGGTATATGTCACATAGACTACTTTTTGTCCTTTTGTGACGCGAGCGAAGCCGCGGGTAAAAGCTAGTATCAAATAAACAATAACTGTCTAAAACTACACAGTAGAATCGAAAATCGTTACCCATATTTCATCGCTATGAAAAACTCTTTTACATACATAAATAAATAACCAGCACTGACTTAGTTTCCGCATTACAATCCGTTCATTCACTGAAACGTCTGAGCATGAAATATTGCCTCAATTTATTCGCGGCCCTCCCTTCATGGGTCCCGTACATGTTCAGGGTCCTATAAGCCCTTGGTAGAACCATTATTTTTCGCACAGATTTCAAAAGGTACTGTGTAAAATACTGTGATTGAAGAGTGTTGGACTGTGTCGTTTTACTATGTGTCAATCTTAGATATTTAAGGTTAGTTTCAAGGTCAAGTACTATTTTACTTGTATAAGGTTTATTTACTACTAACTGTATTACTAAAACTTATATTAAGTACTGAAAATCATCGTAAACTGCAACAACTCCTGAGACATCATGAATTCGTACCTGACCACTTACTGAACAATTGTTATACCTAACATAATATAACTTAACATAACATCACGCCTTTTTATTCCCGAAGGAGTAGGTAGAGGTGCACATTATACGGCACTTAATGCTACAGTACAATGTAACACCCACTATTCACTATTTATGTTATGAGTCCCAATAGGGAGTGAGCCTATTGCCATATACCGGGTACAATTCCGGACTCCATGCTGTCACTGAGATGTTTTTTAGAAAACCTAGTAATTATTTTCGGAATTCGAACCAGAGACCCCTTGCCTGGCAGTCACACTTGCGACTACTTAGCCAACGAGGCAGGCAATTATTATATTGAATTAGATATTTTGATGTACTACTCGTGTATTACTCGTAGTGCATAATTAATATTCATCTTAGTAAGTTACGAAGTATACTCTCAATCTCTAGTCATATCTGAGGATCATGGTCAACATCAGGATTACATCTGGAGCGGATAATCTGCTTCCAGCGGTTTCCGTTCAGCGTGTAAAGACACGCTGTGCGAAAATTGTGGACGGGCTTTTTTACGTGATTGGTCCATCTCGTTGGGGAAAGCCCACGCGATCTATTGCCTTTTGCGTATTAACTCGTCGAGTACCGTCATTATAGACACAATTATAGAACAATAGGTTGCGGTCACCGGTGACCGCTTGGTGTTTGACAGTTTAAAACTGCAAATATAATTCTATAAGAATATTCTTTATAACTGACGTTTCCATTCGAAAAAAAGGGTTGTTTTTCCTCTGACAGATAATATTCCAGGTAATAGGGTCACCAAGACAAAACCAAAACTAAATTATTCAAATCAGAATGCGGAATGAACCAAAAAGAACTAAATACACTGCCCTAGAATTTAAACTTGGAACCTGGACGTGACCGAAATTTTCCAAGCAGGGCTACACAGTCGGACCCGTAAATTAACTTAATTACTACTGGGTAATTACCATTGTCTGATGTATTCAGTGGCGAATTTTACTACAGTGAAGCCTCGGTTTTATTGTTTGTTTGTTTTGCCAAAATTCCATTTGATTTAAGTCAGTCTTATTTGTGTTATATTGGTCAATGTTATAATTTTGTTGTTAATCACAATATTAGTAACATATTAAATATTTTACTATAATTTCTTATTTAAATGCTTTCAAGCTCTTGTCAAGTCTCAAGTGGTTTAAGAGTTAAATTTGTTGATTCTATCTATAACTTTATAACATACTAGCTACTTCCGCGTGGTTTCACACGTTCTGCTCAGCTCCTATTGGTCGCAGCGTGATTGTTTATAGCCTATAGCCATCCTCGATAAATGCGCTATCCAACACAAAAAGAATTATTCAAATCAGACTTGTAATTACGGATATTAGAGCGTTCAAACAAAAAAACAAACTCTTCCGCTTTATATAATAGTATAATTTTTTTTATTGTTTATACACATAAGTACTACCTTATCACATTGAAAAAAAACACAAACTATAAACCGTACCTCTTTTAACTACAATATTCTATTTATAAACCAAACCGATCACAGATCATCCATCTTTTGCATTCCTATAGAGAAAAACCTAACAATAGATTCAACCATCTCATTAAAAACGTCGCGGAGGGAATTTCTAAGAGGTTGTCATTTTATACTGTCGTCGGGTCTCAAGTCTTTCAATACTCCTCTTCTATAAAAAAACTTAGATAATGTTTTTATAATAACTATCGTGAGACATACTAAATTAACGCGACGTCGCCGCGACCGCGCACGCTGCTCATGAGGAAGAACCCCTCTGTGGTTCGAAACTAGTAGAGCTTTTCTCAGTATATTCACGTGAGTAACCCGCGTTTTTACTTAACTTAGATAATCTTTTCCTCTAATTTTCCGAGCTGTAGCCGAAGGGAACAGTAAAACAAATTGTTAGGTAAAGATGAAGAAATAGAGTGATATTGTCTTGAAATTCTAGAACAGGTTATTGCATGCTATACAGTTTGTTAAACTATTATAACTCTTGAGTTAACAATAAGTTTTATCAACGTAAAAGTATAGGTTTTTTGAGGTTAGTATTTTTAACAATGCCGTGGTGGCCCGGAGGTTTAAGACGCCCGCCCACTTCTCATGCATGAGAGTGAGGGTTCGAAACCTAGCAACGACAAGTACCAATGTGACTTTTTCCGCGTTATATGAACTTCCTGAGATTATTTAGACACCACTGACAAACGGTGAAGGAAAATATCGTAAGGAATCCTGGGCTTATAATTTCTAATTATAAGTTTGAAATCGCCGACCTGCATTGAGCAAGCATGGTAATTAATGGTCAAAACTTCTCCGTGCGAGAAGAGGCCTTTGGTCAGCAGTGGTTACTTATAGGCTGTTGATGGTGATGATGGTAATGTTTAACAGGATCAACTAACTGAGTTTTATATTTAATGTGTGCTAAGTTATAAATTATTACTTGCAATGAGTACGCAATTATTGCATTTCGTGTAGCCATTAGGAAAATAGGAAAATAAGAAATTCGAGTCTCTTGGTTCGGTATTTATTAAAAAATTTAAGCAATTAGATTCAATAAATTAATATTTTATCGGCTTACTCACATAATTATTTACGAGGAACTCGACTAGTTTCAAGCCATGATAGAAATTATAGTAATGGCTAATATGAGCCTCTAGCATGGCTTGAAAGTCGGGTTCCTCGTCAAATATTTACGTAAGTAAGTTATAATGCAATTAGTTTTGGTACAAAAACAATAAAATTCAAGAATGATATTACCTTAAACACAACACTAGATTATGGGTAATAAATGCTCCATAAAAATACGCCAAAGATATACTAAACTTGTATTAAATCGTTTTACGTGAAGCAATAATACCACGTCTGGCAGTGGAAACCATATTGTTTGATGAAATGTGAAATTTTATATCTCATTTATGACTGAAAATAAAACTCACCGCCTTGTTATAAGAACTGAAGGAATTTATTAATAGTTGGCAAAGATTATCTCCTACAAACACAATTAATGAGTAAGATGAAAATTCAATTCTTTTGTTACTTAAATGTTAATCTTCATACAATAAACAATATTCATCTAATTTTGTTGATTTAGGTACATTGTAATGCTAATTGATACCAAATGTATACAATATACTTAACAAAAAAATCAATTTATCACACTAGTATTATAAATGTGAAACTTATAACTTATAAATATCTTCGTTTGGATGTTTGTCCGTCAAATACGCTGAAACTACTGAACGGATTTTGGTTAAATCTATACTAATATTATAAAGCTGAAGAGTTTGTTTTTTTGTTTGTTTGTTTGAGCGCGCTAATCTCCGAAACTACTGGTCCGATTTCAAAAATTCTTGTTGCTTGAATGAAGGCTAAAGGCTGTAAAATATCCCGCTACTATAAATAGACGCCGAGCAGAGCGATTGAAACCGCGCGGAAGTAGCTAGTTTGTTATATAGGCAGAGTATGAGCTGACTTAAGTGATAGGATATTTATTTGTAATATTATCCCGATTAAATACGGATTACGGGGACAAAGCCGCGGGTAAAAGCTAGTATCTAATATTTCTCTTCAAAAGCAAATCCTTTACCAGACAAAACCTTTGAAAAGACGACTTTTAAAACCGACTCAACAAAGCGTTCACACGTTACACTTAATCCACTTATAATTTCTGTATGTTGAAACAAGGGGCTGTCACATTCGATCCTATATAAAAGTCAGAACATGGGAACCGGCGTAAGCGGCAGCGATAGCAACAGCGACTGACGTCTTTCTTAGCACCATTAATTTTGAATTATGGTCTACTATAAGCTCATTTCTGGAGGTTTTGTTTCACAAATTATCGTGTAATGACAAAAATTATTTAGAATATACTAGCGACCCACCCCAGCGTCGCACAGGTGCAATGCTTATGTAAATATTAGGTATATTTACTACAGAATGTCCTTATACACCACGTTTACAG